ACCCTCGGTATATGGGGCCAGCGCCCTACTCACTGAGCCCTAGGCACTGCTTGGGTTACTAGGTTTATGTATTATCCACCATCAGAGCTCCTTCCAGAAGATAAGTACATGCTGGAAAGGACCGTATCTGCCTAACCACTGCTGTCACTGAAAAGTATGTGATTAAGCTTGGTGCCTGTAGCTCAGCGGCTAGGGTGCCATCCATATACACCAGGACTGACAGGTTCGAACCTGGCCAGGGTCTGCCAAACAACAATGGCAACTACAACAAAAAAATAGCCAGGTATTGTGGTGGGCGCCTGTAGTCCTAGCTACCGAGGAGGCTGAGGCAAAAGAATCACTTAAGCCCAAGAGTTTGAGGTTGCTGTGAGCTATGATTCTATATCACTCTAGCTAAGGCAACAGAGTGAAACTCTATCTCAAAAATAAAATAATAAAAAAATAAAAATATGTGCTTACATGTTTTAAAATGGGAGGTATAGAGCCTTATTGTCCAAGATTACAACCACTACCAACAGGTAGCTCTTAAAATGTAAATATTTTTTTTAACTTTATTATCTTTTTTTTTGCAGTTTTGTTTTTTTTTGACCAGGGCTGGGTTTGAACCTACCACCTCCAGTATATGGGGCCAGCGCCCTATTCCTTTGAGCCATAGGCACTGTCCTAAAATGTAAATATTTTAAATAAAATTAAACATTCATTTTCTTAGTGATTTTAGCTGCACTCTACCCACTAACAGCTGGTGGCTACCATGGTAGATGCACAGACACAGAACATTCCCATTATAAAGTTCTACTGCACAGTGCTGGTAAAGACAGTGTTATGTTCCTAAGGATTATGGTAGAAAGAAATCACTACTAGCTAATGGAACTGAGACTTGAAAATACAAGTGAATGAAGGCTTTGCTAGTACTTAAAACCTGATGAAGTAGTGTTAAACTTCAGGATTAGCAGATTCAATTCTATTTACAAATAGAGGTCCTTTCCTACAAAATGTTTCCAGAAAACTGGTAAGATTTAAGATGCTAAAATAACACTGGTATAACCCCTTTCTTCAGAAACTTCTAAAAGAAAAAAACAATCTACTAGATTAAAGCTTTTAAAATAGGCTGGGATAGTGGCTCACAACTTTAATCCTAGCACTTGGGGAGGCTGAGGCAGGAGGACTATTTGAGCTCAGGAGTTCAAGACCACCTTGAGCAAGAGACTTCCACCTCTACTAAAAGCAGAAAACATTAGCAGGTATTGTTGTGGTAAGCGCCTATAGCCCTAACTACTCAGGAGGCTGAGGTAGGAGGATCACTTGAACTCAGGAGTTTTGAGGTTGCTGTAAGCTAGGCTGATACAATGGCACTCGAGCCTGGGCAACAGAGTGAGACTCTTGTCAATTAAAAAAAAAAAAAAAGAATTCATTCAATGGAAATTATACCTTAATACAGCTATAGAAATGAAGAACAATTCCACCCACAACTCTTGGTCAGACCAGGAAGATTTTCTTCTTCTTTTTTTTTTTTTT